AATTTGTCAGCTTCAATAAAGAAGCTAATTGTTCAAAGTTGTTTGTATGATGTTTCTCATCACAAATGTTCTTTCTCGTTCAATTCGTTTTCCGGTAAATTTCTTTGACCAAATTCTTATTTTTTTTAAGATACACCTTAATAGGCCATTTGAGAAAGGTTTCTTCTTTAATTCAAAATAAAATCTTCTCCAGTAATTTGAAAATATAACAAAGTTTGTAACGTTTCTCGAAAGACGATTGGCTTGTCGGTTGAGGAAAACAGAAATTTTCTCGTCAAAAGATGTTTGTTTCTTCTTTAATTCGAAAAAACTTTTAATAAATGAAATGTTCTGGAAAAGTTCTTATTAACAAATTTCAAAACCAAAAAGAATATAATGCAATAATTAAACTTGTAGTTACTAAATAAATAATAACTACAAAAATCCAAAAAAAAATTTTTGACGAAAGAATTTTATTAAAAATTTGGTAGATATCAAAATGGTATTCATCTTCAAGAAGGTTTGTAAGAAACAAACCAAAGATTACACAGAAAAAAAAGAAGATTACAAAGATTTTTGTAAACATTTTTAAAAAAAATTGTTTGTAAATTTTACTTTTATGAAAATATTTAATTGATTAAACATTCGCAATGAAGAAAATTAGATCACTTTTATTTCTTTTCGAACAATATATTTTTGAAAATTGATCTAAATTTCTTTCTAGTTTATAACCTACATTAAACTTTCTCAAAAAGATAAGAGAACTTTCTCATAGATAAAGATTGCCTTTGTGGATTGATTAAAAACTTGATCACAATGAGATTGTATGAGATTGCTTTTTATGAGTTGATTAAAAAATTTGTGATTGATTAAATGAACTTTGATTGACAAAACATGGTCATAGATAAGATTTGTATAAGATTAAAAGAAATTAATTGCAATAGCAGATAAGAATTGTATGAGATTGCTTTTTGTGGATTGATTAAAAGAATTTCTTATAAAACTTTCTCACGGCAGAAGAGAATTGTATGAGATTGCCTTTTGTGGATTGATTAAAGAACAAGATAAAATTTGTCACAGCAAATAAGATTGTATTAGATTGCCTTTTGTGGATTGATTAAAGAACAAGATAAAATTTGTCGCAGCAAATAAGATTGTATTAGATTGCCTTTTGTGGATTGATTAAAGAACAAGATAAAATTTGTCACAGCAAATAAGATTGTATTAGATTGCTTTTTGTGGATTGATTAAGAAAAATAAGATTTGTATGAGATTGCTTTTTATGGATTGATTAAAGAACTTTCTCATGTAAATAAAAGATTGTATGAAAATTGATTTGGTTTAAATTGTTCACAAAATTAAATACAAATAAAAGAAATGATTAAATTTTTAAATAGTTCGTTTAAATTCATTTTATATTCGTTTCTTTTTGTAACTCGTCTTAACGTTAATTTTCTTTAGATTTGCATCTGAAAATTACTATATGGAACATGCGGCTCAATGAAATATTATATAACTTTTATGCTCTTTATCAGAACTTTAACAAAATAATATATTTGATATTGTTTAAACAAACAAATATAGTAAAGCTAGAACAAGATATTGACCATTCTTTATCTTTATTAAATATTAAATACGATAATAATATTAACATAAATCAAAAAATGAGTTTGTAGTTGATGCATGTAATGTTATTTCTAATATAAAATAATTTTAAATTAAATAGTTTAAAGATATTAACAAAATGTCTAAAAACATTGAAAATAAACAAAAAGCTCTTCAACTACCAAGTAAAAGTGGTTCAGAACAAGTTAATCATATTCAAAGAGATTTTAACCGTTTGACTGATGAAATTAGTAAATTAAAAAAAGAAAATGAAGAATTAAAAAAAAATAATTCTAAAACATTAGAAACTGAACTAAAAAAAATTGAACAACAAGTAGAAAAATGCTTAGATGCTTTACATGCTGAATATAATAAGAACACTACCTTAGACCAAAAAATGAACAAACTATTTGAATTATGTAAAGAATTCGGAAAAGAACTTCCTACCTTTAGAAACAAAAAACTTGTCAAAAAGAAAACTAACATTTCACAAACTTAGAGAAATATTATATTAAATTAGTTTAAATTTTTATTTAAAATATAAATAAATTCAATAAAGATAAATTGTTTTGTTAAATTTTTATTAAAATAAATAAAATAAATGTTATCAACCCCACAATCCGGAGTTTTAAACAGTTTAAAAGCTCTTAAAGATGAAAATGAAAAATTAAAAAAACAATTAAATGATAAAAACAATGATAATAATACACTAAACCAACAGTTAGAAAACTGTAATAAA